CATCATAACTTGTAGAGCTATCTTATTAACTACCTCTAATAATTTTCTGATACTTTTTCAGAGAGCTGTTTAAAAATGGAACTTACTAACTTTTCTGCATTGTGCCTGAATTATTGTTGAATTAAGGGGGGAAAAATTATTTTTTAGAAAGCCAACCATAAAGCTGGTCAGTGAGACCTTGAAATCTGTACCCCAGTGGCTCCTCAGTTTTGCATATTTCCCATCCCATTGAGGCCCTTAATCATGAAAGGATAGACTCTTTGAAAAGGGCTTTCTCAAACACTACAGAACCTGACCTCTTTTCCATCGAAGTAACCACAGAGATTCAAAATGGGCTTTTTTGTCATGCTGTAGTGCTTTACAAATTAATCTTTCTTCTGTTAAGATGAACAGGATGAGAAACATGTGAATTATTTATTACAGGGGGTTCAGAGAAATTATTAGTGTCCTTGCCTCATCATTTAATAGTTTGAGTAAAAATAATATTACCTTTCATCTCTAGCAGTCTTTGAACTTTTAAAAACATAAATAGTAAATGAATGTTGGAAAATGCTTTCCCATGTATTTCTTATCAAAACATGAGCTTTGGAGCCAGATAGCCCTGAGTTTGAATCTGCTGCTCTCTAGACTGTGATCTCACATTGGTTAACCTCTTAAAGCTTTATCTTCCTCACTTATAAAATGGGATAAATTCATTCATTCATATATATTGTGTTTTACACTGTGATAGGGACTGTGCTAGATGTTATAGATAGGGAAGATACAATCCCAACCCCTAAGGATTTTACAGTCTAACAGATCTGAAAATTAGGTATGTCAAAACCTGACATAGTTATAATACACTTTAGCTCCACATTCTCTCCTTCCTTCCCCTGTGACAAGTGAGACAGAAACCAAGCTCTGACAAGTTAGGTGACAGCCCCAGGTCACAAGTTCAGTCAGTGGCAAAGCCAGGAATAAAAGTTCCTGAGTCTCTCCAGACTTCCCTGTCCCCTCCTTGCTTTGGAGACATGCATTTGCACTGTAAAATAGAAGGCAGGCCTGAGCTTGTTACCTAAAGTAAAATAATAATGCTAGTATTTTTTTCCAGATTTGTTTTGTGAGTGGTGAACTTTTATCCCCAGTGTGCCATGAGGCATAAAATACAATAATAGTTGCCAGTTCTAACAAAAACAACTATTCTGTTCCTAATGTGGCATTTGAGTAGCTGGATGTGAGTATCATAGCATGTTTACCAGTTGTTTACCAGCAAGTTTACCAAATCTGAGCCCCTGGGCCAATACACTTTGAATAATATATTATACCAAAAACGCCTAAAAGATAGTGAAAAATCACAAACCATTTCAGAAAAAAAGTATCAAATTTTCCCTGTATTAGATTTCTAAATAGTATAGGGCTATAAGAAATTATATTTTCATCCTAAAAATAATCTCACATATCCTCTTGACTGTTAAAAGAGCCTCTATTTTTGTACTGAGGTTTAGTCAGAATGACTGCTTCACAGACAAAAGCAATACATATAGCAGTTGGTTCCTATAGTACATTTGGATGATCATATTGTGGAAAATGCTGTAAATGTACTATAATAATTTAAAAATTAGAATGGTCAAAAGTAAAGTAAAACCACAATAAATGAATGAACACAGGGCATCAAACAGGCAATTTACAAAAGGGGAACTAGAACTATTAAATCTGAAAACACTTTCAATCTCTATAGTGATCAGAGAAATATAAAAGTTCTTTTTTTTTTAAACCAAGTACTATTGAATCTTGTAAGTGTGGCATTGTGTAGGAAGAGCCATATGATTTTAAAGTAAATTTTGTCCCTATAATTCTACTTTGGGAAACTTATCTTAAAGAAGTAACTTGAAAATATCAGCACAGAGGTATTTAGTGGTATTTTATTTGTGGTAATTTAAAGTCGGAGCAACCTAAATGTCTAAAATCAGAGGAACGTTTAGCAAAAGCAGATTGAGTCTACTTGAACGTAATAGTATGCAGCCAAAAAAATTATGAAGTTTATACAAAAACATAGAAAACTGCTTATGACATGTTTCATGAAAGCAAGTTGAAAAAATGTGTCCTCTGATTATAAACATGTAAAAGTTATATGTGTAAAAAAACTAGAAAATACATATTAAATTATAAGTTATATTTATGTGGTAATATTATGGGTGCTCTACAATTCTGTTTTCTAGATGTCTTATAATGTAGTTATATTAATTTTATAACTTAAATGATCTATTTAATAGTGGCCGGCCCAGAGGCATGGTGGTTAAATTCAAGTGCTCTGCTTTGGCGGCCTGGGGTTCGTGGGTTTGGATCCTGGGTGCAGACCTACACATCACTCATCAAGCCATGCTGTGGTGGTGTCCCATATACAAAATAGAGGAAGATTGGCAACAGATGTTAGCTCAGGGCCAATTTTCCTCACCAAAAAAAAATAAAATAAAAGAGAAAAATACAGTTAAAGCTGAATTTTAAGGAAATCGTTTTTTCTTCTTTGACTTTTAAATAGTCTTTAAATGCTTTTATATAAGATGTATAAAAAAATATACCAGGGACCATTTAGAAAAGGAATAAGACAATCTTTATCTACTAAGTTTGTAACTGTACCAATGAAGGTACAATTTTCAGTTAAAACAAGTCTGATTTTCCTCTTGATTAATGATATTTTTTCAAAGCTACATTAAGAATGTTACTATGTTTTCTGCAAGCTCTGACCACCATCCCATGAGTCAGCAGGCCATGATAATCCACAATCGGCTAAGGTTAAATTAGTAGCAGAAACTGGGGAAAACATCAGGCAGCCAAGTACAGTGGGCCGCACCGATTAGTTGGTAGTCATAACTCCAACCAAACAGCTCTTTCAGTTCTCAGGATTCAAGGAACTCACCAGAGGAATTCCTTTTGGCTCCCAAGGAATGTGGTGAGGTGCTCCTGGGAACAATGTGCCTCATTGTGCAGTTAGTCCCAGGAACTACTATTTTTTATACTTTATTTTATTGTTAAAGGAGTATGTACACATGGTTAAAATTTTTTTAAGTACAGACATATATGAAGTAAAAATTACAAGCACCCTATTTGATCCTTGTCTCCATCCCACTCTGCCAAATTAGTCACTGTTAATAGTTTGGTGTGTGTACTTCTAGTCACTTTAATAATATAAATAAATACATATCTAATTTATGTATTCTAGTATGTATATGTCCTTTTCTTAATAAGTTAATTAGATCATGCTAAACCAACCAAATATTACTTTTCTTAATAATATATTCTGAATATCTTTCTCTGTTACTATGTATATATTTTTCCACTGTCATCTTATTTCCTATTTATTTTGAATAGCTGTGTATTATTTCCTTTTATCATAATTTTCAGTTAACATTCCTGTACATATCCTTTCCTTCTTAGGATAAATTCCTAGAAGTGGAATTGCTAGGTGAAAGAGATGCTCATTTGACATTTTGATAGATATTCTCAAATTGCCCTCCAAAAATAATTTACCAATTTACATTCTCAGAGTCATATATGAGACAGAAATTTTGATTTCAAATACATTTTTTCCAGTATATCACAAAAGTCTTTGGGTTATTAAAATAGGGATTATACTTTTCATGCTCTCCTAGAATGCTTTGTAATCACATATTGCCTTCTGTGAAAGTTATATATTTGTTTTCTCTCTTGCTAGAGTCCCTTGAGGGCAGGATTTTCAACCTATACATTTTTGTGTTTCTTAAAGGACCTTGCATAAAGTCCATACTCAATAAATACTTTGTTGAATGTTGTTTGCTATATACATTTTACCCTTGGTTAGGACATAGATTGTAGCCAAAACTGTCCAAGGATTAGTCATCAGTGATTCATAATTATGCAGCCAAGAAGTAGGCCTAAACTTTAGACTTTCCTTGGTGGTTTAGTGTCAAAGCTTGCCAACCTTGGGCACAGTTAACGGGGTGGCTGGTTATTTAACTGTACTGATTTTCTTCTTTCAGTAGAGCTTCTTGACTTTCTTATTGCTAATGTGAAATGTACTTTTCATGGGGAATAAAATACTGATATACAATTTAAAAGGAATCACCTTCTACAGAATGGCTTAAGATATAGAATTTTTTTTCTCTCACAATGAGATACAAAAAATAGAAAATATCTTAGATCCATGTAGATTTGCATAGCTGCCTTTTGAAATATTTTCCTAATGGCTGTGATTTTATATTTTTCTTATCCACAGGATTCCTCCTACTTTATCCTCAGAGGGACGTTGGTTTTCATGTATTCAAGAAACTTAGTTCCGTTACTCTGGAGACACTCCCAGGCTTACTTGGCCTATTAGAGTCATGCTAGCTACAAACTTCAAAATTTCAGTGGCTTAATGTGGTAGAAGTTTATTTCTTACTCACAAATAGTCCAAGGCAGGGGGGCTTTGGTTGGTGGGTGGCTTTTCTCCATGTAGTGATTCAAAGATCCAGTTCTCCATCTAATGGCTCTGCCACTCCAGAGTCTTCCAAGCAGAAGAGGAAAAAGAGGATGGAGAAGGCATACTCATTTCTTAACTGCTTCAGCTTAGAAAAGATACACATCACTTTCACTCATATTCCACTGTTAAGACCCAGGTTGGGCCCTACTTAGATACAAGGGAGGAGAGAAATGTAGGCCTTAGCTTGGCAGCTACCTCCCAGCACCAATTCCACAATACGTAAGGAGAAGCACATATTTTTTGTGGATAGTTAACTGATTCTCACAACAACCTATTAGGTAGGCAGAACAGGTTTCAATTTTGTAGGTTAGGAAAGAGGTACTGCAGAGTTGAAATCCCACACTAGTTTGTAGTTGAAATGCAGTTTAGAAACCAGATCACCTGACTTCTATTCAGTTTCTCTTTCCTTAATATTAAAAAGTAATCCTATCCTGGCTTAAAGTATAACCCTCTTGGTGATTCATTACTTTAAACTGCATACTATGATCTTTTTTTTTTTTTTTAACTCCTCTTTCCTTTTAAGGACCTGACAATGTCCCTGTATTGTGGAATTGCTTGCAGGAGGAAATCTTTTTGGTGCTATAGGCTACTGTCAACCTATGTCACTAAGACCCGGTGAGTTTTGACCAAGCTGAGATCTGATTATTCTACCTTTGGCCTGTTAAATTATAAAATATAAATATCTCAAATTCCTATATTGAGGATTAAGGATATATGATTAAGATTTTACATATAAGGATATTCATTATTTATAATTGGAAATTATTTATATTTGGAAAATTATTGCAAATTATTTATAATTGGAAAAATTCTAAACAAATTTCCAATAGTATCTAAAATGTCTGACATACTTAAATATAAGTTCTATTAAGATAAGAACTTTGTCTTTTTCACAATGGTACCCCTAGTGCATAAAACAGTACCTGTTGAGTGGATGAATGAACAGTAAGGGAAAAATTAATTAAATTATAGTACACCCATATGATGGCATTAAAAACTATACTGAGTAATAGTTCATGAAGTTTCCTGAAAATGAGGCAGATAACTACCATCTCTGTATGCCCCCCACTCCCTTGAAGAACTAAACTTCAGTGAAAGGTAGACTAGAAAAAAAAAATCTACACCAGTACAAGAAGATAAAGGACTTAAGCCTGAGGAAATTTGAAATCTGTGAATTTGAAATCACTAGCCTGCTCTCATACAGTTTTGGGGTTTAAATTTTCACCATCTATATGGTGTGGTCCCCAAAGCCCCAACCTAAGAAAAGAATTTAAGTAGTAGTCCTAGACTTATAATACCGCTGGGGCACCTTGCAGAAGCAAATGTAAAACTCCTCTAGAGGAATACATTCATAACCAGGGCTTCCCACAGAGAAAGCTCTGCCAAACACGAGTGCCCAGTCCAAAATTTAAAGGCACATTAGCATACAATCTTACATGAGCAAGAGTGAGAAAACAACAAAACTGCAGTACTTGTTTTAGATATTGTTGGGCATTTATGTTATTGAAGTTCTCAGGCTGAGACTCTGAGAACAAAAACAGAATTATTGAATAGTCTAAAAAATGGGTATATTAAAGTGATTAAATATATTAAAAAATATATCAAAAATCATGGGAAAAGAATAAAATTCTATCCATAAAGAATAGAGTGTGAAAAAATGTTAATATGTTTAAGAAAAAAGGCTATAAATTAGTAGGTATGATTCTAAATATACCTATCTATATATGTACAATATTAATAAATAGTTTGGAGAATTCCAAGGTGTAAACAGTGATCATCTCTGAGTGATGGGATACTTGATGCTTTCCTTTTTTTAGAATATTGATAACTGTATTTTCTGATTTTTATAAAATGGCTGTTTTTTACTTTTATAATAAGAAAAAAACAGTTTAAATGTGATAATCTTAGTATTGTGGTTTCCATGCTATTATAACTAAAAGGAAACAATGAATTTTTAAAAATAGTCATCCCGATCAAGAAGAACGCAAGGAACTTTTTGGACCTCAGTTCCAGTTCCAGTGAGGCCCTGGGTTTAAGACTTTAACCTGGGTGTTTTTGTAGGTGTTTTGCTTTTTGGGGTCATTAGGGCAAAGCACAGGTTGTACCACTCTTAACAGTTGTTTTACGAAGGCGGCAGTGTTTGTTCTATTGTTTATATTTGCTAACTTCTGAGTGGCACATGTCTCTCCTTTGACATACATTGAGTCTTTGCCACAGGAGGCTGCAATCACTCATAATAAGTTTAAAAATATCACGAGTATTAAAATCTCAGGTTTCTTTTGTCTTCTGTTTATAAAGGGCTCATTGTAACCCCTTTTATCACAGTCAAAAATAGGTTCATAAAGATGCCACTGGGGTGTGTTTATCATTTTGCTTTGTAGTTTCATGTTGAGCCAACTCTGCCTACTGGTGTTGCAGAAGCTCTCAGATCCTACAGAAAATACCTGTAAATTGTGTTTCTCACTTAAGTGACAAAATATGCCATATACCTGAGAGTCTGTTTTAGGGCTTTCAACAGGCAAAAATGGTTATCTCTAAGGCCCCAGAAGGTGAATCCATATTCAGTCCCTCCTGAATCATGCAGACCCTGACCTGATTCCCAAGGCTGTTGAAGGGCTAGATTTAGTCCATCCTCAATGAAGGTACTGGAAAAGCCTAGAACTTACCCCAGTACTATTTCTTTTAGAGAAGATAAATATAGGATATTCTCTTCTACACATTTTTATTTTGGCTACTGAAAATATTACACTTATTAAATAAGTCAAGTAATGGCTTCACTTTCTCATCAGTGGTCCCTTCAGTAGAGATAAGGAGCAAATGGTGTCCACTTAGGGGACTAGATGTTTGAGACACAGGTGCTTTGAAGATAAAATTTACTCTTTTTTTTTTTTGTGAGGAAGATCAGCCCTGAGCTAACATCCATGCCAATCCTCCTCTTTTGCTGAGGAAGACTGGCCCTGGGCTAACATCTGTGCCCATCTTCCTCCACATTATATGGGATGCCGCCACAGCTTGGCCTGACCAGCGGTGCGTCAGTGTGCGCCTGGGATCCGACCCCGGGCAGCCAGCAGCGGAGCGCGGGCACTTAACCACTACGCCACGGGGCCACCCCATAAAATTTACTCTTTATCTTCCCTAGATTGAATGAGAGTTACTGAAGGTATAGTGTTTGCTCTTTGTCTGCAATAATGAAGTCTGCTCTCATCTCTGGGCATCTGCGGTTGATGTTTATCACTGTACTTGTTTTCCTTTCAATCCACTGCATGTAAATTCTTGCCTCACAGTGTAGTATTGGCAAAGTACCCTGAGGTTCAATTCAGTAAATATTTATTACCTTTGAAGTTCAATTCAATAAATATTTATTGAATTGAGCCATTCAGTATGCTAATTACTAGAGATATGGAACTAAGGCAGACCCTGCCCTTAAGGGGAGGGAGAGACAGACAAATTAACAATTAGTACAACGTAAGTGCAACCACAGAAGTATGGGCAAGGTATACAGTAGTATAAAGGAGGGAATGATTACCTGAAGCCACCTGAAATCCTTTTTAGAGCAATTTAGAATGTAAATAAATAAAAGGAAATAACCATGGTAGGAGAGGGATGTGGGAACAGAATTCTCAAAGATGAATGCTGTTTACAAGTAACTAAGGGTGGTTTTGTAATGCTTTATTTCCAAAATACAGGTATTTATTTGAACTGAAGGAAGATGATGATGCATGTAAAAAAGCCCAGAAGACAGGAGCATTTTACCTCTTTCATAGCCTGGCTCCTTTGCTTCAGAAATCAGAACATCAATACCTGGCACCCCAACATAGCCTATTAGGTAAGCCCAAGGTGGACCAGTATAGTAGACCAGCCTGTAGCCACTAAGCAGAATTCAGTCCATATTGAATCCTGAGAAGGATCCTCTGGCTTTAGAGTCCAGATTTTTCAAACTGCTTCTGCTAATTAATTATTTAGGTATAAACTTGAGTTGCCCAAGTATTTGGTGATGGTGTGAACCACTACTGCCTTAAACCAGGGGCTAACAAAACTGCTGTCCAAATTGGAACCCGCCCCCTGTTCTGTAAATAAATTATTATTGGAACACAGCCACACTCATTCATTTACATGTTCTCTATGGCTGCTTTCGCACTAGAATGGCAGAGCAGAGTAGTTGTGACATAGACCATATGGCTCAAAAGCCTAAAATATTTTGCCAACCCCTGCCTTAGACCAGTGATTTCCAGCCTCCATGGAGTTGCACACTGTTACATTGTTTAAGATTTGCATCATGACTTCATTTCTCCTAGAAGTGTCAAAATTAAAAGTGAATTAAAATTAATTTGTTTTGAGAACTCTTTTACGGTATATAACTAAAGATATCTAAGTCATTGGGATTTAGCATTCAAGATACTTTCAGTTTTATATGATATCACTATACACTGACTAACTTCTAAATGCATTACCAATGAATTTCCTCCATGGGTCAGATGTTGGAGTACTTGTATAGGTCGATAGGTAGTTTCTAGGGGCCGGCCTGGTGGCGCAAGCGGTTAAGTGCACACGCTCCACTGCAGCGGCCCAGGGTTCACCGGTTCGGATCCCGGGCACGCACTGACGCACTGCTTGTCAAGCCATGCTGTGGCGGCATCGCATATAAAGTAGAGGAAGATGGTCACTGATGTTAGCTCAGGGCCAGTCTTCCTCAGGAAAAAAAAAGAGGAGGATTGGCATCAGATGTTAGCTCAGGGCTGAGCTCCCTCACAAAAAATAGTTTCTAGCAGTGCAAAAGAATATGAAGATGCAATCAGAAGGCACTAAACATTATTCAGAGATTTAGCATGTCATGTTGTATTATGAACAAATAAATATGAGTCTTTCATGCACAGAAGGACAGGTTTTCTCCCTATACAGTGCTTGTCTTATCCAGGCTGGGATCTCAGATGAGTATTCTACCCTGGCCCCCAAAAGCAGCATAATCTGCAGACTAAATTATATAACTGATTTGGTCTCTACCATTTTAAGTGTGACTTTTTTTTTCAGTGCCATAATAAGTTAAATATCATGTATCTTTCAAACTAGGAGAATCATAGTGTGTTTCACAGAAAGAATTCCTTCTTTAAACTCCTCCAATTGCTGATGAGAAAATGGAGGCCTAGAGAAGGTAAGTGATTAGACCAAGATTACATAGCTAATTAGCTACAGGGTAGTGACTGGAAGCCAGGTGTACCAACTTCAAGCTGAAGCAGATGATTTCTTCTAAGTCTAAGATGGCTCTGGTGGTTTAATTAAAACTCTTGTTTTTTTTCCTTTCCTATTTTATTTCTTAGAGTTGGAAAAGCTCCTGGGTAAGTTTGGACAGGACACACAAAGAATAGAAGATTCCGTGCTGATTGGATGCTCCGCACAGCGTGAAGCATGGTTTGCGCTGGATCTAGGTCTAAATAGCTCCTCTCCCATAAATGGTACATAATATTATTCCCAGTGGGTACTTCCCAGTGGTTCTCAGACTTTGGGATTTCACATAATAGTAAAATTTCAAAGAAAATTTTGGGGATATAAAAAGGTTATCAATTTTATATATATTTTTTCAAGTTAGGACATAAAAAATAATACCATCTACTATCATCATCATTTAAAAGAAAATAAAGGACATTTTAATGCTTTCTTTCTAAGCTAGGTGGTGGGTACACATATGCTTATTGTATTATTCTCTGTACCTCTATATAAAATACATATTTTGTATTTTATAAGAAATGTTTAAATATTTAAATGTTTCATAAGAAATGTTTTAAAATTCATGACATCACTCTTATTTCTCTTATCAATACAGATGAATAAACATGTTACCTTGGAGTAGCTCTGGGTCTTTAGACTTGCATTTGGGAACCAGTTTGCTATAGGCTCGAGCTCCTATCAGGCTTTCCTTCTCTCTTTCAGGGTGTAGGTGCAAATGTATGATTCTACAATGAGGTTCAGACAGGAGCTTAGAGGTCCCATTTCATTTGTTTTCCAGGGATAGTGTGTGGCTAATGCAAATGTTCTTATTGCCCCAAAGAGGCTCTTGAGAAATATTAAGCTCTGTTTCCCAAATTTGCCTGAATATAAGAATCACCTGGTGCTTGTCAAAAAAATAAAGCTTTCTGGGCCTCGCTCACCTGCTGTTCAGAATCTCCAGGCAGGGACTTGAGAACCTGTAGATTTTTAATTTTCCCTAGTTGAGTCTTATTAGGTGAGTTTGGGAAACACTTCTAAGAGGATATACTTGAGAGAGGCCCCAAGGCAAAGTTTGACGTTTGTTTCATTTTACTCTCTTTTCTAATTTTCTAGCTTCCCTACAGAAACGTGAAATGGAGACAGAGCTCAAGGGGTCTTTCATTGAGCTGAGCAAGGCTCTGCTTCAGCTGAATGTGAAGGATGCCTCCTTGCTATCCACGGTAGATTCTGATTTCTCAGTACTGTAGGAAATTTCGTAAAGCAGTGTATATCGGTGAATACATGCGTGCATAACACAAGGCTAGAGTGACATTTGATTTCTTCTTTTGCAGATCATAGTTCTTCCTACAAACCTTGGCAGAAGAACAATGTGCTGTAGGGAGACTGCTTATTCTTCTTTCTTTTGTCCTTGTTAGGGGCAGGACTGCTGTCAGGACCATTTCTCCTAAGGGCATGCAGATCTATGGCAATGTGATCGAATAGCCTCATAAACCTTTTTAATGACCCACAGCATGACATACATCATCATGTTTTTCCTATGAGAAATTATTTTATATGACTTCAATGACGTCCTCACAGCATTAGATTTCACTTGCTAAAGTGCTTTTGATTGTCCATGTAATTTAAAGAGATATCTCTAAACATTTTTTATTCGCAAAAAATTCCAACTTTATTGGGGAGGAGTACATGTTAGGGTGTTCAACTATATTGGAAATGTTTTATTTTTAAGCTGGGTCATAAGTACATGGCTGTTCAATACTTTATATTATATATATTTTTTAAATAATTCATAATACATTTAAAAATATGCTTTCTTGGGGCCAGCCTGGTAGTGCAGCGGTTAAGTGCGCGCACTCTGTGTCAGTGGCCCGGGGTTCACAGGTTCGGATCCCAGGCGTGCACCGACGCACTGCTTTTTAAGCCATGCTGTGGCGGCATCCCATATAAAGTAGAGGAAGATGGGCACGGATGTTAGCCCAGGGCCAATCTTCTTCAAGAAAAAAAGGGGAGGATTGGCATTGGATGTTAGCTCAGGGCTAGTCCTCCTCACACACACACAAAAAATATGCTTTCTTTTATTCATATTTCAGATGCTAGAGGAGTATGTTCAGATAGTTTCCTTACTTTAAAGTTTAAACAGTTAATAGCCATTTAAAGTAGGTAAGCTGGAAAGGGATTGGCCATTTCTCTTTGAGTTGCTCTAAATACTAGGCCCAGCTCTGTTACAGATGAGCCCTACATTCTCTCCAATGAAACCAAGCCCATCTTTGTATTCCTAGGCTCAGGCTCTTCTCCGTTGGCATGATGCTCATCAGTTCTGCAGCAGAAGTGGGCAGCCCACCAAGAAGAATATGGCAGGCAGCAAGCGTGTGTGCCCTTCCAATAAGATCATCTATTATCCGCAGGTAAGCATTGCTTTAAAAGGACAGTAATCCAAGAAGGCTGTGCACTACTCTGTCCTGTGGATGGAAGCCTGTACACTTAAAATGCTTTCCTTAGTTATCTGTTCCTTCATCCCGTTAACAGGCCCCAAAGCCCTAGTGTCTAAGTTTTCATCCCCTTTTCCTAGGTGACTCCTGTGGTGATCACTCTGGTATCAGATGGGACTCAATGCCTGCTTGCCCGCCAGAGTTCCTTTCCCAAGGGAATGTATTCTGCCTTGGCAGGTTTTTGTGATATAGGTAAGGAGTTTAGGGCATGCACGGATGACATTGGAGGACACAAAAGCTTATCAATAGTAGGTCTTTCTTTGTCTTGTTGCCATAGTCCTTGGAGTCTCAAGCACATTCTTCTCTATAATGTCAAGAAAACTGCCTTCTGGCATTATAATTTTCCAATGTATTATAGGCAAATTTTCAAACATATAGCATAGTTGAAAGAATTATATAGTGAACACCAAAACACTCACCACCTAGATTCTATAATTTTTTACTACACTTACTTTATTACCTATCTATCTATCCATTCCTCTATCCATCCATCAGTCCATCTCATTTTTTGATGCATAGATGGCAGACATTAGTACACTTCTCCCTAAATATTACAGCATGCATAATATTAACTAGAATTCAATATTTATTTACAGGTTGGGTTTTTTTTTCAGTCTATTGGCATAAAATTTGCAAATGGTGGAATATGGTATTAGAATTTTTTTAAAGCTGAGGGCGGCAGTAGCCTCTCCCACTGCCACTCTTATTTTGCATTATTACTAACCTAGTAGGTTTAAGTATTGCAGTTCAACACCCAACTCCAGACTTGATTCCTATTGTTGTAAAGACTCAGAGATTTAGGGCTCTCCCAAGAGTATTTCGTTGAAATTTTGGAGTCAGTTTTGTTCTCCTTTCACAAATGGGCATCTGTATCACCCTTCCTGCTGCAGGGCTGTCCTGAATTAATCTGAGTGCTTGTAGGTGAAAGTCTGGAAGAGGCTGTCCGGCGAGAAGTTGCAGAAGAGGTGGGATTGGAGGTGGAAAGACTGCAGTACTCTGCATCCCAGCACTGGCCCTTTCCTAATAGCTCACTCATGATTGCTTGTCATGCAACTGTGAAACCAGGGCAGACAGAGGTAAGGTCTGAATCTTCCCTTATGCTGTGATATTTCCTTTGCCTCATCCAAGCTGGTCAGTAGGTACTTACTAAGACCTGTCTAGTCCAGCATTGTCTAGAGTATAGAAGATGTGTAAGATATGATTTATACCCTTAAGGAATTTGCAATCTCATAAAGGAAACAAATAATCACTATGAAAATTTGGAGTGCCAACGTGATCACCATTCTTCTTGGTATATCTCTCAATCATGAGACAATTTATCTTTCATTATCAGGACTTAGAGCATCTTGCATGGAGTAGGCACACAATAAATATATTAAATTTAATGGTTGATTTCAGGATTGGTCTTATTGCTCCAGTCAGTCAGGATGTTGGGGACTAATAATATAAAATCATAAGAACTGCGGGTTGAAAGGGACTTAGATGTTGTCTTATCCAACATCTTGCTCTTTAGCATCCCTGACAGATAGTGTTGTGGTTGCTATCTGCCAAAGTCTGTCTATTATGTGTTTTGCTTTCTATAGATTTAATAATATCTAATCTTCCCCAGCTTCCTGTGGATGTAGTTTGCATTACTTTGCCTCTTGCAAAGAAGACACTATGCTTTTGATTATCATTAATTAACCCTTATCCTTTATTATTTATTTATTTATTTTCTGAGGAAGATTTGCCCTGAGCTAACATCTGTTGCCAATCTTCCTCTTTTTGCTTGAGGAAGATTCACCCTGAGCTAACATCTGTGGCCAGGCTTCCTTTATTTTGTATGTGGGTTGCCGCCACAGCATGGCTGATGAGTGGTGTAGGTTGGCGCCCAGGATCCGAACCCACAAACCCAGGCTGCCAAAGTGGAGCATGCTGAACTCAACCACTAAGCCACCAGGCCGGCACCAACCCTTATCCTTTAAAGAAGAGTAACAGGGCCGGCCCGGTAGCTTAGCGGTTAAGTGCGCGTGCCCGGCTACTGGCGGCCTGGGTTCGGATCCCGGGTGCGCACTGACACACCGCCTCTCCGGCCATGCTGAGGCCGCGTCCCACATGCAGCAACTAGAAGGATGTGCAACTATGACATACAACTATCTACTGGGGCTTTGGGGAAGGGAAAAAAAAGGAGGAGGATTGGCAATAGATGTTAGCTCAGAGCCGGTCTTCCTCAGCAAAAAGAGGAGGATTAGCACAGATGTTAGCTCAGGGCTGATCTCCCTCACAAAAAAAATAAAAATAAAAATAAAAAATAAGAGTAACATTTGTATGTTCTTTTTAAATTAAGGTTATACTATCAATAGAGGCACAAAGAAAAACAAATATTATTCATAATTTACCCCTCAATATTAACTACTCAGTATTTTAATATTTGTGCTTCTAGGATTTTTAAAATGTATTTTTTTTTAATATTTAAAAAATATATTTAACTCCTCTCTTAATTACGCCTCTTTTACTTCTGGGAAATATCTAGAACTGATTATCTCCCAGCCTATAGATTCCAGGTATTATCTTCTAAGATTGCTCAGTTCTGGAACCATTTTCTCACCTTTGGCTATAGTAGTCTAAATTTTGTAGCTCCTAACCTTGCATCCTGTTTATCCTTATGTCTTTCAGATCCAGGTGAACTTGAGAGAACTAGAGGCAGCTGCCTGGTTCAGTCATGATGAGGTGGCCAAAGCCCTGAGGAGAAATGGCCCATATACTCAGCAACTGAATGGGACTTTCCCATTCTGGTTGCCCCCCAAGTTAGCCATCGCCCACCAACTGATTAAGGAGTGGGTAGAAAAACCGATCTGTTCTGCCCTGCCTGCTTAGCTCAGATCAAGCTGCCTCAAGATCCCTCCTCAGTATCCCAGAGGAACATATCAGAAATCAGTAGATAAAGGGGAGGTGACAAAAGGCCATCTCCAGGCTAACCTCATAATAAGGCAGAGCAGAAGGTGAACCTACAATAAGACACCTCTATCAGCAGTGTTAATGAAATAAGTTCCTACTCATAGGCAATCAGAAATGCCAAAACTAATGAGATTACATTTGTGAAAATCAGAGGGAAGGTTGAAGCATTAGTTTGGATGTAGGCCATTGTTCACCCATTTCTCCCAGGGGCCTTGGAAGCTAACATCTTTTGGCATGTGGCTTGTTAACACTGGTTTATACTAACTGCCAAAATGTGCTTGGTATAATTTTGGTTGAAACTTTATTATTTTAGTATTGAAAATATATAGCAAATCTCAACCCACTACTGAGTTACTTTTTATCCTCATTGAATTAGGAAACATAGCACAACATTTTTAAATTCATGTACAGGTAATTATTTTGTACATGGTAGTTAAATAAAAGTCATTTCTTTAAGTCATCTGAAGAGATGAGGAAAGTGGGAGCTAAGGTCTTCCTCAGAGTACTCTGTAATAAATAGATGCAATGATGTTCTGTTGAGGTAACTGTGTCCCACGGGGGCTCAAGATGGGAAGGTTTTTTTGGTGTTACTTCTCAGTTTGTGACCCAAGGAAAAGACGATCACTTTGCCATGCCTGTTTTCCTAAATGTAAAATGATTGCTGCTATTTGCATACCCAGTAAGTGTTGTAACTTCAACTAAGGGATTAGTGAGGATGAACCATTTTTTGAGTTTTATGGGATAAACTAAATTTAGGATTTGTCTTCATTTATATATGCCATTCTATACCTTGTCATAGGGGAGAAGAATTATCTGGAGGAAATAAAATAAATTTCCACGTTTTTGTTCAGATGTATTTTTCTGTCTTATGAAGTGAGGAATTTGTGGAAAGTGAGAATGTAAGGCGGGAAGAGAAAAGAATCCTTTTATTAGTGTGACAAACATTTAAGTCTAGGTTCCAAGTCTGTGGAACGACTGAAGCAATGTGCAGAAGAAATACTGTTAGAAGTCCATTAGAAAAGAGGAATGGCTGGGAAGTCATATCTTCAGGTGACTGGCACTAACTTGTGATTAAAGACACAATTGTCAGAAACCCTAAGATTATTTACACATCCAAGTCCCATAGGACTAAGCAAAAGACGTTCTAGAACTAGAAAAGTTGAAGCACTCAATTTCCTTTTGATCCCAAAAGGTCATTGCTCTTGTATTGCCAGCAAACCATCATTGCTTTGGGGAAATCAAAAGTGCCTTCAGCAGAAAATGTTGAGGGATAATATGTGATGGGACTTGATTGTCCTGTTAGATTGGCAGCTTGCCCTGACCTGAGCTGAACCCAGCACGTAGAAGGGAAAAGCACTCTCGAAAGAGAGGACCTGAGATTTCTTCATATCTTGCAGTTAGAAGAAAACAGTTCAGGGTCCATGTGTATCACTGTCTCCCAATCTTTTTTCTCTCTATGTGGGTGTGTTTGTGAGCACATCTGTACACATCCCCAATCTGAAAATACTGATAGAAAGGGGAGTGTGCAGGATTCCTGGTTATGAGTTTCTCAAACTTACCATGGAGTAACTGTTTGCTTTTGGATTAATGTGTTGTTTTGGAAAAGAAAAGATGCAAGTGGCTAACAGGAGGAGCTGCAACATTGAACTTTGTTTCCCAACAGTGAATGGAACAAGGTCTTTGCTTCTTAGAGCTCCAAGGATATCTGAAAGCTGAGGCAGAAGTGGTCAGGGTCCAGATACTGAAAAATGGCAGATAAATAAAAGAAACTTTGGTATAGGGCTTAGCTGGCTGGAGAGGCAATGAGTTTTGAAGGTGCTAAGGATAAAAAGAACCCACTGGGTCCATGAAGTAGAATAGCAAAAATAGGTAAAACGTTAAAACAAATGTATTTGTCAGCAGAGTGAGCCTGGCTCAAGGTCAACACGGGGAACTGAAATAAAAAAGCAACTGACTCATTCTTTATTTTTGCCTATCTACTTTCCTTTCTCTACCCAACATTTAATTCTCAACAAAGATGAACAATGTCCTAAACACGGAGTGTGTAAATCTCATCTCGGGCTATCCGGAGGCTTGATTCTCTCTCTTCTGCCAACTTCAAAACCTTGTGTGAACCCCAGAGTTGAGATCACAAAGACTTGTGCCGAGAGGGCAACATTTGGGGCTCATAGAGGAGAAGTCAATCTGTGAAAGTTGTAATGAAGAAACATTTTTACTAAATGAGTAATCTAAACTAGAAATGAGCATAATCAGAATCAATATTTATTTAAGAAGGAAAAAGAGAGGCTAGGTTTGCTGGTTATTAATCTTTCGTTGGCTTTCTGGTGGATCTATGATCAGTGTTGTCAGGTAGCTGCACTCCCATGCTTTGTAGAAGGTTGGAAGCAGGTCCTGCCAATCCAGCTTGGGAACTATAGGATTCCAGTATATTTGAAACCAGGTTCAGGTCTACATCCACTGGTGTCATAATAGATCCTCCTGCACCAGAATCTTCCTCATCTGAATTGTTATTGGTAGTCTGGGATAGAGGTTCCTTATTCATGAAGGGAAAAGAAAATCATGGGATAATATGCCATTAGGTTGGATGGTAGTTAACAATAAAAAGCTAACTAAACAGGGGCTGGCCCCGTGGCTTAGCGGTTAAGTGCACGCGCTCCGCTGCTGGCGGCCCAGGTTCGGATCCCAGGCGCGCGCCGACGCACCACTTCTCAGGCCGTGCTGAGGCCGCATCCCACATACAACAACTAGAAGGATGTGCAGCTATGACATACAACTATCTACTGGGGCTTTGGGGGAAAAATAAATCAATAAAATAAAATTATTTTAAAAAAAAAGCTAACTAAGCAACAATGTAAAACTGAATTCCAAATTAAAAAGGAAATTTCTTTTCCTTCTTGAAAGTAAAAACGAAGTCTAATAAACTATGTAATTTAACACATGTATTAATATTTGGTTCCAAAGATGATAATACACTTCTTCCTAGGGAAAGTTTCTACAAATTGAAAGGATTTATTCCCTATTTTGAAATAGTGCAAAGGAGATAACCAGGGTTAAGAAGGTACATTTATAGCTTGCCTAAGATTCATTATTTAAAAATAATGAACATTAAAAAAAAGAATCTAAATTTTTCTCTAAATGAAAGATTCCTTGTTTTCCCCCAATGAAAAAACTTCAAGTGAGGTCTAACCACAAAGACTCTGAATTGTTACTTGAGCCTCTGATTTCACAGGCTGGGAAAAGGATTTGAAAGATTGCAGCTTGATCTTTAGACCTTTATATCTTTGCTATTCAAAGTGTGGTCCATGGACCAGCAGCACGTGCACTGCTTGGGAGCTTGTCAGAAATGTAAAATCTCAGACCTTGCCCCCGACATACTTAACCAGAATCTATATTTTAACAAGATCTTTAGGTGATTCATATTCACATTAAAATTTAAGAAAAACTGCTTTAAATAAATCTAATGTATGGTTTCTATTAGGTTTTCACAATACTGGAAGTGAATATAGTTTAATTTTTATTTTCTGCTGAGGAAGATTCACCCTGAGCTAACATCTGTTGCCAATCCTCCTCTTTTTTTGGCTTGAGGAAGATTAGCCCTAAGCTAACATTGGTGCCAATCTTCCTCTATCTTTTTGTATGTGGGACACCTCCACAACATGGCTGGTGAATGGAGTAGGTCCACACCTGGGATGTGAACCCATGAACCCGGGCCGCCGAAGTGGAGCGTGTGGAACCTTAACCACTCGGCCATGGGGCCAAGCCCAGTGAATATAGTTTTAAATGTGGTTTAGATGATCAAAGCAAGGGGAACAACATTAATTAAGGGCCCATTATGGGTTTTACTGTTGTCTCATTTGGTTCTTATGTTAATTCTGTGGTATGGGGATTACTGGTTAATGGATACATTCACAGTGGATAGCTGAGCTGGATTTTAAACCCTAATCCATGAGACTCCAGGGTCCATTCTCTTTTCATAATGTCTCTGTCTAGAGTTAGACAGTGTTGGTATAAAAACTAGGATAAAAACATTAGTGGAAGATGAATTCTAAATTTGGCTCTAAAATAGGAAAACATTCAAAACAAACACTATTAAGACTTGAAAATTATTTGGATATTTAAGATCCTTTCTCTTTTTTTTTAAATTGATTTAAACTGTTCGTAGTAGTATGCAACCACATATTAATGTGAATACATCATATGACTTCTTATTTTAAATCCTGATAGATAACAGAATAAGAAATATAATCAAGCTTATGTTTAGGAAAAAAAAGTTAATAATCCTTCATCCTACCAGAGTTAGGAAAAAATTAACATTCTTATTTACTTCAAATCAAAAAATCAAATTCATCACAAAAAAAACTATCACAAATCAAAAAAAAAAAGAAAAAGAAAAGAAAAACTAACATAAATATGGTTTTAGCTATCCTTTGTAATAGACTCAGAAAGGAAAAGAGGTTAAACACAGACATACCATTTGCTTCTGGGTAGTGAAACTCTTGCCAATGCTGGTACATGCCAGTTCCTGGTCCATCTGGGCCATGTATGACTTGAGATCATCAAGAGTTCCTTTTACAGATGCTTCTTTCCCGGGCTCTTGTGTTTCAAGATCCAAGTCATCATCACTATCTAAACATTCAAAGTCATCTTCATCCAGATCATCAGAGTCTGACTCATGAGGCCTGGGCCCTAAACAGACCCCAACACAGAAAGCGCCACTTGGTAAATTTTTTTTGACTGATTACACCTCTCAAAAGAATTAGAATATTATCTGCAGAAAAAAACCAATATACATAGGCAAACAACTTCACAAAAATCCCTTCCAGAAAATGGTATTACTGGCAGATATTTGCAGAAAAGTACACAGACTAAGCTGAAAGAGTCACCTTTTTTTTTTTTATGTGAATTTAATTAATTAAATTTTTTTACTTAAAAACTAAAAAAACTACATAACACATGAATACATTTTGATGCAAACATTCAAGCCATGCAGAATTATTGTCTCACATCTCACTCTTTCCAGAGTTAAGAATCTTTTAACAGTTTGCTGGGTATCCAGACCTTTATCTATCCAGTTCTGTACATATATATATAAACATAATTTTTTTTTAAACATAGATATACATATTGAACTATGGTTTGCTTTTCCACTTGTTTATATGTCTTGGAGGTCCTTCTCTGTCAAAACCTATAGATGGACTTCAATCTTCACTAAAGCTGCACAGTATTACAAAATATGGATGCACTATGATTTATTTAACCATTTGCCTCTTGGTGGACATCTGGGATATTCCATTTTTTTGCCACTACAATGCTGCAATCACCATCTTGGCACATATATCTTTTTCACAGAGTAAACTCCTAGAAATGAAATTGCTAAGGCAAAGGTTATGAACATTCTAGAGTACCAAACTGCCCTGTGAAAAGACGACTTAACACTTCTACCCCACCCGCCCAGTTGGAGACTGCTCATTTCTCCAACCCTTGAGAAAACTGATTATTATCAATCTTTTAAATTTTTGCCAATATTACGGGAAAAAAATGTCCTTATTTTTATTGTGTATTTACTTGCTTACTAGAAACAGTTAACTATTTAAAAATATTTATTGACTGTTTTTATATTTCTTCTTCAAGGCACTGCCTATTTATATCTTTTGTTGATTTTTTTATTGTGCTATTTGTCTTTTTATTATTAGTGTGTAAGTGCATTAAGTCTAAAAGAGAAAAAACAACATAATGTGGGATCCAAGGTAAAACCCTATCTAAACACAGAGCATTCACTCACTCAACAAATATTTAACGAGCAGCTACAATGTCAGGCACTGAGCTAGGCATCCTCTGCAAAAT